CAACCCTTTCTGCTTTCTTATCTAAATCATGTTGCTCTTATGCTAACAAGTATTTTTTTTCAAGCATAATTTCTATAAGAAATTGAACAACTCGCACGAGTTGAAGCACACAAATAACGTCTTAAACAAGAGACGAGAATTGGGCAACCCTCTCCAACAACCTGTGCGACAGTGATCTTCAGAGTTTTGGAGTCAAAGAAACGCAAACGTGAAGCAACTGATTCGTGGAGGGGGCGGGGGCATCTCAAATTCTGTTTACTGGTTACTTTTTGCGTGTAAAGATGATCTTCGGCTCTACAGTTTTGTTATAGATTGTAGCTACAATCCGTGACATTAGAACTTGGGTCAATTGAAGGAATAACGTTGACATGTTTTGCTCAACCCCCTTTTCCCTGTCCCTTTCAATGTTGGCCTCGAACTTGGACAATTCCACTAAAAAACCGTTACAAAACAACATTGGAAGAGAGAAAGACAGGTATCAGAGCAGTGTGACCCAAGTTGAGTGTCCCTGATTGTAGTTTAGGCAGGTCCTTATTCACCGATAAATATCCTCTGTACTATAACCGGCCCACGGATAATTAAAATTATTATAAGTAACGCAAAATGGTCACACCAAACTAAACACAGGTTAATAAGACATCTATTTTATGAGTCGGCTTTTATTATACTCCCCTAACACTGAAGCTAACGCCACATCAAGAGCAAATTACACAGTCGACGTGAAAAATTGAAATAAAAAAAGCTCCTTGACTAAATTCACACCTGGAATATCTAGCTTCAAGCCATGTCAAACCGACTTAATATTCATTGAGCTAAGTTTAAAAATAGACTTTGTAAGGAATAGTTAAACTATATAATTAAATGGCTGCTTCCTAACAAGCTTCCGACTAAATAAGCCCATTGGATAACACTAAACATGTTTACGTACAACCTCGTTTCCATGACCTGGGAATGAGGTTGGTAAACAAAACCCTACCCAGGGTCACCGAGAGGAGCACCTGAGATCATTCGGCGATATAAATAACATTTGTCTTTCCGAAGCGTTTGTACTCAAATAATATACTATTTTTCACTCCCAAGAGTTAAACGTCTTCAAAGAAACGTTTTGGCTTATCCCGCAATCTTCATTTTGCGTGGCGCAGAGACCTGAGACGAGATTAAACAGTGTTTGAGTTAGAACGATGAAAGTAATTTGAACGAACACTGGTTGTTGATAATACTCGCATTCCAAGATATATGCAGTTAACCACTTATCCTGCTTTCAATTTCCTGTACAGTCATTTGAACAAGTTCCCAGACATGTATAGTCAACGGCCCTCCTCCGTCCCACCGATGACCGGTCGTTTCGCAAACGAGTCGTTTCCTTAACGTTCCGTTCGCTAATCTCCTATGTCGTTCCACTAAGAAGCGAAACGAGCGCTGCCCATGAATATGCCTCGTTCTCTCAGCCATGATACAAAAAAGTGCGATACGCATGTTTATACCTCGTTCTTTCAGCCACTGACCAGGCGAAAGCAGTTAGGGAAGTGACCCAACACGTAAGCGAAACGACTTCAGAAGACAGCGAACAGGACGTTGCCGAAACGACCGTAAACCCTCTCACCGACAACTCTATCATAATTCTGGCCACTCTTTATGGGCCAATTTCAAGGTGGAATGTGGCGGGGATTACCAAATCATTGAATAAAAAATGTGCCAAACTGTAATTACATTTCGATTTTTTTCTCTAACATGAATATCTTCTGGGTCAAAGTCTTCCACTCCGCCACTACCTTCTATGACCTAACGAATTACTAGGAAATATTTGTGAAGTCTCTAAGCAACTTTAACTTTTAAGGAGTGAACAAGTTTTTTTCTAACTGAAGGGTCCACAAACCACCAATTAAAAAAAAATGTTTGGATCGTTGTGTCGGCACAATTGGGTGCAAAGAAAAGTAATATGTAAAATAGGGGAAAAAATTAATCTACAGCCTTCGATTGTTGAAAAGAAAAAAAAGGAACGAACTACTAATGAAGGCAAAGAAATAAAAACCAACCAAGAACAATCACGATTAGATTATTTACAGAAAATTATCTTAAAAAATACCCAGGAAGTAAGCCGCAAATTGAAGTCGTATGTGTACCTCAACAAGAAGTCAGAAAACCAAATAAAGAGTTTAAATACAACAAAGGGTACGCTAAATAAACAAATCGCCAATTCGCATGACCACAAATTTTAGCTACCTTAGCCTTGAACTTCACTACTCGAACCCTCTTGATGAATCCCGCTGGGCGTAAGATCTCACCCCAGGGATATTCTCTTCCTAATCCCAGGGATATTTGTTTACTCTACCTATTTTACCCTATTGTTCACAATTTTTTAGTCTGTAAAAACAGCAATGGTCAAAGTAAGTTCTGTCTTAACAACGTCAATAACTAGATTAGCTTATTTGACGTGAAATTCTTGAGTCACGTCAAACGCTGTAGTCGAAAATAATTCACGGTTGTAACGCGACTTTTTTTTTGCCATTCAAGGAGACTCTAAGAACTTGATTGTTTCCTCATTTCCCATGGTCCACCTGTTGGGAGAGTGAGAAATGACTGGTTAGCGACAAGCTGTGCCAGGCTCTCAAATTGTTAGCCTGCGAACAGAGACGAAAATAAACCGCGCGGGATCTGCGGAAGGGGACCTTGGCGGGAAAAACCAGTCAGCACCCGCGCGATTACCCGTAACAAAGCCTGCACTACAAGCTCTTTCAGCAGATGTGAGACCTGGGGTACTTATCACTTACTTGGAAAAACCGGAAATTCCTGTTGGAAAATCAAATGGTTCGCTCCGTTCAGTTCGGAAAGCTTCAGGAGATACGGGGTGTGATTTAAGGCAATGTAATTTTTCTACTCTTCTTGATCAGATATGCTGATTTGGATACACTTTGTAGCGGGTCGTTCTGCCAGCTTTTCAAATTTTGTAGTTTTTTGTTTATGCACAAGTTTCTGCCCGAGTGGTTTGAGTAAACGGTAAGCACCCCAGTTCTCCACTTACTTGGAGACCCGTGGGAGCAAAGGTCATTAAACTTTCATCATGCACACTGCTAGGACTAGAACGTCTGTCAGAGTCATGTTCGAATTGATAGCTGTAACCTTGATTGGCTCAACGTTCTTAAGAGTAATGTTGAGAATCGGCTGAGACTTAGCATCGATCATCGGAAATAATCGGATTAACCCACCCGATCAATCATCGATTATAATTGGAAAAATCTCTTTACAAGAATTCAACTTAGGACGGCCGCTGTACCGAGTTTTACAACACGACAAAAACATATCAGTTAATTAAAGGGACATCAGTGGATTCGACCCTGCTCAGTGGTTAGACTCTGATCTACCAAACTCGGAGGGTCGTGATTCCGATCCTACCCTGGAGCTAAGAATTTTTTCTGTGCTTTCGGGTGACAACACGCAAGTTTTTAATATCTTTATATGCCAACAAGAAATTGTATTATTCCTACGATAACCTATTAAACATTTTCCATGATCGATTAAAGTGTCGCTTAAAGATTCCGATCGATGATCGGCGCACCATTACTTGTTGGTGAAAAACGAAACTTTTCTT